CACCCCCCCACACACTCCCCCTCTCTCTCACACACACTCACACACTCTCTCTCACACACACACACACACACACACTCTCTCACACACACACACACTCACTTAGTTAAAGTGGTTTATGGGCTGGTTGTATTTCTTGTCCGAAGGGTTCTTTATTCTGGTTTTCTGCTGCGGTGCTCCCTGTGTGTCAGTCTTTGTTTCCCAACATACTAATACATTCATTTAATTGCAAGCTGCATTATTATAAGCTACAGCAGTGAGTTGTTATTTAAGCATATATCAAATAAAACTCATAGCAGTCAATCCACATGCATGATATTTGTGGAGATTAAAGAGTCAGTGATTGGAATGAGCGATAATGTGTTTTCTAGATCATGTGCTAGTTGTTTTTGTATTGAAACTGTGTGTGGTGATGATATTATCTCTGTCCGCTGAAGACGCTGGTTCCTGTTGTAAGGTTTTAGTCTCTTCTGTGTTTACATGCTGTGATGTCCATGTCTTGAGTTTTGTTTTCAGCTTCAGTATCTCCTCCTCACTGCTGTGTTTGTGTTCAGTGTGTTTGCGTCTCCGGACCAGCAGGGCGGCGCTCCTCACGGCCCGACAGTGCTGAATACAGGCGGCTCTCTGCCGGATCTGTCCAGTCTGCACTTCCCGTCCCCGCTGCCGACCCCGCTGGACCCGGACGAGCCGGGATACCTGTCTCTGAGCGCCGGAGGCAGCACGGGGAACCTGACCTGTACCCTCACGCAGCTCGGCATCCACAGCCCCAGCGCCTTCCACTCCCCAGGTCAAAACACATTCACTGAGCTAAGACATTCATCTGTCCAGACACCGTCTGAACTCATGCTTTATTGATACAGTGCTTTATACAATACAGATTCGCAGTAATGAACAGGGAAATAACAGAATCAATGATGCAAACTTATGAGACAAAGTCAAGTTCTGCTTTTAAAAGATCTCTAAAAACATATTATTCTGATCAGTTCTGTTCAGTGTTCAAGTATGAAACCAGTTGGATACAACAGAAACAGAAGACAGTAGTGTCATTATTCAGTTCAGTTCAAGTTTTTAATGAATCGAGCGAGTCAGTGATTCTGTGAATGAATCAGCCGTTTGAACGAATCTAGTAGGTCAGTCATGAAGACTTGCTTCATTAATTAATGAATCAGCCGTTTGAACGAATCTAGTAGGTCAGTCATGAAGACTTGCTTCATTAATTAATGAATCAGCCGTTTGAACGAATCAAGTGAGTGATCAAGTGACCAATCACAATCCAGTGTTCCAGTGTGTTGTGTAACATGATCTGCGAAGGTTACGGGGAGGGATAAGAGTCGTTCACTCATTTAGTTTATTTTTCAGGAATGACTGTATTCTGAAACAGCAGCTCTAATGCTGAATCTCAATGTTGTTTTGTTCAAATAGCATGTTTGTATTTGCACAGGTCTGCTGCCGTCTCTGCAGGGCACGTCCAGTAACCCCTCCCTCCAGTCGTCGCTTAGCAACCCCAACATCCAATCATCTCTCAGCAGCCACTCGTTCCCCAACTCGCTGAGCTCCGCCTCCCTGCACTCGTCCCTGAGCAATCCCTCCCTCCAGTCTTTGTTAAGCTCCTCCCCCTCGCTGAGGTCATCGTTCAGCAGCCAGTCGCTGCAGTCGTCTCTCAGTAACTCCTCCCTCAGCAGTCATTCGCTGCAGTCGGCTGTCAGTAACACCAGTTACAGCGCTTCGGGCTCCTTCCCTCCGCAGATGAGCACGTCCCCACGCAGACTAGTGCAGCTGACCCCGGTGACCCTGCCTCCAGACACTCGCAGACATCACCCCAAACAGTTCTCACCCACCTCCTCCACCCTCAGCTCCATCACACAGGTAAACACACACTCACACACACACACGCACACACACACGCACGCACACACACACGCATGCACACACACATGCACACACGCACACACACACACACGCGCATACACACACATGCACACACACACGCGCACACACACAGAGTTCAGAGTTACGCGCACACACACACACATGATCTTCGATGGTCACACACACGCACAGAGTTACACACACACACACACACACACACACACACACCCACCCAGAGTTACAGCCGTTTGCAATCAGTGAACAGCGCACACTTATACCCAGAGGGATATCTTATGATCTACTGCTGATGAGTTATTTCAAAATAAGAGTCCCAGTCTATTTCGGGCTTGTTTATAATTAAAAGGCCTGCAATATGCATGCATGCATGTTTTTTCCTTTTTTTGCATGCATGTTTCTTTTTTTAAAACATTTTCATTGCACCCTAGTTTTTTTTTAATGAAATACTACATTTTTAAACTTTAGAAATAGATTTTTATAATGCTTCTTTTCCATCGGTGTCTGTCTCAGGGTGTGGCTCTGGACACCAGTCGGCTGCAGGTGGATCAGAGGTTTTCTCCGTATTCCTTCGGGCAGCAGCCGCTTCAGAAGGGTCTGGTTCCTGCGCAGACGCATGCGCTCCGCCCGTCGTCGCAGACGGTGCAGCTTCACCTACACAACATGCAGAATCTGCACAAGACGCAGAACTTCCACATGCAGCCGCTGAAGTGGCCGAGCCCCGGTCAGAACCAGAACCCCGTGAGCTGCGGGCCTGCAGACGCGTCACAGCCGGATGCGCAGACGGGACAGACCCGGTCCGACCAGCAGAACCAGCCTTCCCTACGGCAGATCAGACCGGCTCTCAGCAGAGATCTGGACCTGTACAGCGTGAGTGACTGACAGTACAGTGATGCTGTATAATAACAGAGTACCATTTACAGGATACTATGGTATTGTACCTGTCCATATCACTGTGGTCACTCATACTACATAATGAAATATTGCAGTGTTTATTATAAAGGATTTATCCATGCATTGTTTTTTTCCCCGTCTTTGAGAAGCTGTTTAGCTCAGATATACGTCACAATATAGAAAAAAAACCTTCTGTTTCATGCAGACTTTACTGTCTCATCATAATTCATCTGAAACTGTATTTTCTCTTCTGTGTGTTTCTTTCATTCTGTACTTGTGCTTAGAGTCTAATCTAATAGTACACAATAGTAATCAAACAGTACTAACAGACCAGTGTTGTTATTGTTTACTAAAACTATTAAGATTGCTTTCATAAACTGAAATTAAAGCTGAAATAAAACATAAATAATAGATGAAAAACTTCCAGGAATATAAAATGTTGCCTTTGCAACTAACTTAAATAAAATGTTTAAGTACTAAAATTAAACCTGAAAAAAAAAAAACATTAAAGCACAAAAAAATATGTATATTATGAAGCCACTCCTTCGTTGCCCGGGCGGTGTGTTTGGGATCATTGTCATGCTGAAAGACCCAGCCACGTTTCATCTTCAATGCCCTTGCTGATGGAAGGAGGTTTTCACTCAAAATCTCACGATACATGGCCCCATTCATTCTTTCGTTTACACGGATCAGTCGTCCTGGTCCCTTTGCAGAAAAACAGCCCCAAAGCATGATGTTTCCACCCCCATGCTTCACAGTAGGTATGGTGTTCTTTGGATGCAACTCAGCATTCTTTCTCCTCCAAACACGACAAGTTGAGTTTTTACCAAAAAGTTCTATTTTGGTTTCATCTGACCATATGACATTCTCCCAATCCTCTTCTGGATCATCCAAATGCTCTCTAGCAAACTTCAGACGGGCCTGGACATGTACTGGCTTAAGCAGGGGGACACGTCTGGCACTGCAGGATTTGAGTCCCTGGCGGCGCAGTGTGTTACTGATGGTAGCCTTTGTTACTTTGGTCCCAGCTCTCTGCAGGTCATTCACTAGGTCCCCCCGTGTGGTTCTGGGATTTTTGCTCACAGTTCTTGTGATCATTTTGACCCCACGGGGTGAGATCTTGCGTGGAGCCCCAGATCGAGGGAGATTATCAGTGGTCTTGTATGTCTTCCATTTTCTAATAATTGCTCCCACAGTTGATTTCTTCACACCAAGCTGCTTACCTATTGCAGATTCAGTCTTCCCAGCCTGGTGCAGGTCTACAATTTTGTTTCTGGTGTCCTTTGACAGCTCTTTGGTCTTGGCCATGGTGGAGTTTGGAGTGTGACTGTTTGAGGTTGTGGACAGGTGTCTTTTATACTGATAACGAGTTCAAACAGATGCCATTAATACAGGTAACGAGTGGAGGACAGAGGAGCCTCTTAAAGAAGAAGTTACAGGTCTGTGAGAGCCAGAAATCTTGCTTGTTTGTAGGTGACCAAATACTTATTTTACCGAGGAATTTACCAATTAATTCTTTAAAAATCCTACAATGTGATTTTCTGGATTTTTTTTTCTCATTTTGTCTCTCATAGTTGAGGTATACCTATGATGAAAATTACAGGCCTCTCTCATCTTTTTAAGTGGGAGAACTTGCACAATTGGTGGCTGACTAAATACTTTTTTGCCCCACTGTATATATATATTGAAATATACAAAAACAAGAATAAAATTAGAAAAGCACATACAATTTCTAAAACATAAACTGAAATTTAAAATGAAAACTGATTATATAAAAATAAAAAGTAATTCTAAATATTGATTTATGTTATAATAGTATAATATAATAGTAGAACAGCACTGGCCCAGATGTGGTAATACCACGGTACTTTCCATCGTTAATGGACAAGTGTCTCTTCTGTCTCATTTAGGACACGATGTTCCTGAACTCTCTGCTGGACGACCCATACCTGGACCTGCAGTTAACCAGCCACCAGAACCAGAACCTGAGCCAGCAGGTTAGACACACACACACACACTCCTGCACGCGCACACACACACACACACACACACACTCACAGAGACACAGACACACACACACACACACAGGTTTGTTTTTGTGAAAAGTGGGGACATCCCATAGGCGTAATGGTTTTTCTACTGTACAGACCGTATATTCTATTGCCCTACACCAACCCTA